TACTCTGCAGTTCTTAAAAACCCTCCAACTGATCAAGCAAAGTTGAATTTTAGCCTTGTTATCTTAAAGAAAAATTAAAAATTTACCTTGATCAGAACTACAGTCCAATTTATTTTATATGAAGAAACTTCCTTTTCAGGTAACTTTTTTTAAGGAAACTTTTTAACCCAATCTTACTCAAATTGGCTCCTTAGCAGCTTCATAGATTTTCAATAAACATATGATGTGAGCAGCCACAAAGATGACCTGGTTGAAAGGGAAAAAAATACTCAATAGGAGAAGTCTGCTGAAATTCTGAGAGAGAAACTGCCTGCCAGCCCGGGAGCTGTGACCAGAAGCATCCTTGAGCAGCACAGCCAGCACCTCTGAAGTGCAGCTGGGCACCTAGAAACCAAAGGCATCCTGAGATGCTCTCAGAAAGTGCAAAACTAAGATACTGTAATGGTAACATCATCTGATAAGCTGAAAAATGGTCTGGAAAAAGGGAAAACAGAATGAGAAAGCATTAGTATTGGTAACTGCCATTGGCTTTCTAACTGCAAGAACAGGAAAAGTTCCAAAATGGAACAGAAATCATAATCTGTTGGCTGTCCCAGGTGGAAACCAGAATTAACTGCTTCTGTTGGCTGCTTGAAGTGGTAGTGTCCTACACCCTCTTATATCTGTCTCTATGATTTAGAAATTACTTTCTATCCAAATCAGCTCCTCTCTTCCCGCACTGCACATACTTGCTCCTTTCCTGAACAGGTCTGTGTGAGCTTGTTCTACAAGACCTTGGACCCTTGTTGGGGACACCTTGCTGACTCTAAACTCTGTGACATGGATCATCTTTGCAGGGAGACTCTGCCTGTTGTTCTATTGTTCCCCCACTAAGCCCATGTCCAGGGTTGGTCTGGTTTGTCCTCCCACCTCTGGGATGGCTGTGCCCCTTCTGAGATTTAATAAGCTTGGGATCACATCTATACATGTAAGTAACCTGTCATAACTGCATCTGCTGTTATATTATTGATAAGTTTCCTTTACTAGTGATAACTTTATAGATAAAATATTATATTCACACACATATACACTTTATTGCTGCTACTGTTGGGTGCTGCTATAACTGAGTGTTGCTATCAGTTAATTGCTGCTGTATCACTGATTGTTGCTATACCAATGCTTGCAGATAATACTTTGTAATAGCTTGATATACATATAGCTGTACTTGCTAATGGTGAGTTTTAAAGAAAATTAGAGGCTAAAGTCTCCATGCCCTGTGTATTACAAAAGCTATGTATGCACAGCTGTGATTTTTATACACCCACAGGTCAGGTAACCCTTTAGATCACACCACCACATCACAACTTAAGTCCCCCAAACCCAGCTCTGAAGTACAGGATGCGAAATAGCCAGAAAAGAATAAGAAACAACACGCACAGAATTCTCTAATATCAAAATATAGCAATTTATTCAAGACACTGAATATGATCTGTTGATTCTCTCCTTAAAACAAATGAGCTACAATACACAAGGTGAATTTGAAGAAAGTGTGGGTGGGGGAAAAACAAAATAAGGGTTGATGTTGTTTCAACAGAACCTGGGAAACGCTGAAATGAGAACCAAGTCTGGCTGCAAGTCTGACACAGACAATAAAAACTGCAGAAGCCAGAATTCAGAATTTCAGTGAGTGGCTGAAAGAACATTCTGCAATTGACAAAGAACCATATATTTTAAAAAGGCAGTAAGAGGAAAAAAACGGAGGAAAAATTAAAAAGGGAAAAAGAAAAAGAACCCCAAAAACAAAGCAGACCCTTACATTTGACAAAGTGCACTTCACTTGGCTCTAAAATTAGCTATTTTTTAATTTTTTTTAAAAACAAATTAAAAGGAAATTTCTAAGATGTAGCATGGGGTTAATGTGTGTATAACCCTGTAAGTCAGGCCCTTTATTGCCCCATAAGGGACCCAGTGTTTTCTACATAAAAGATTCAGTATCCTTCTAACCCACAGAGTGGAGTGGTTTTTCAGAAACTGGTTTTTTTTTCAATTCCAGGCCAGTTCCAGACAGCCAGCAATGATAAAAATCCAGCAAGTCTCTGGATGGTTTCACAATCCTGTGTGGTCACTTGGGTTTTTCCATTTCTCTTCTGTTACAAAGAACTATAAACAAAATTATAAAAAGAAATTTTATGAAAAAAACTAACTCCCCCAGCCTGTTGCTTCGTGCAGTTCTGTTTTAGGGGAGCTGCAGGAAGGCTCTGCTGGCTGGAGAATGCTGCTGCTCCGCTGTTGTCGAGAAAAGTGAGAGCTCCTACGAGCACAGTTCTGTGGGTCTAGGCTGAGATGAACTAACTACCGGCTGGAAAAGCCTCTCTCTCCACAAGTCCTGTGTCCTAAAGAAACCATCTCCTTAGGCTAGGATTAACCTTTATAACTACACCTTCTGTCTCCCTTAATAGCTGACAATGATCTACTACAGAACCTTTGAGGATTTTCCAATCTTTTGGGTCTGGGGAGGGGAAGGAAGGTGAATTTTTTCAGCTCCTCAAATGTGCTGCTTTTATATCTGATGGTCCGTATAGAAAACTTACAGCAGCAGCCTCTCTCACACGTGGGCTTTGCAAACCAACTGATATTCAAATTTTGTTTCTCTTGGCTTCTTACCTCCATGTAGGCAGGCAGAGGAAAAGTGGTGTTCTGACAAATTCAAAAAAACAGAAAAAGAAAAAAGCAAGAGGTGGCATGGACACTGCACTGTCATCTATAGTAGCTATCCCAGGAAAAAGCACAGCCTGGGAAACACAGACTATGTAGCCAGTCAGTCATACAGCGTTGCTGAACTCAGATTGAGAAAACTCATCTCTTCAAATCCTGAGGTCTTGCCTATTCTGGTGTCACTCAGGGGACAGAGGCAAGGCCAGAGTCCCATCAGTGCTGCCCTCCACTGCTCTGCTGCCCACAGAACTGCAATTTCTGCCTGTTATTCTCAAAAATGCTACCAAAAAGCAGCTTAGGAAGTTAGTTAACCGTGTACATGCAATGACTGTAATCAAATCATTGACCCAACTGTGCTTTATAAAATCACATTATGCCCTTGTATTCAAATTCAAGCCTCTCTTTGAGCAAGTAGTCTTTTTTTAAAAAAGAGTAATGATTTTAAATTCATAGGTACATGTGGTTATTATAAAACAGTGCAAAACTGCCACATGATGATCTACAGCCCATGTCCTTGGAGCAGAAAATTAAAACCAACACATAAATGCATTTAACACCAAAAATAATCCTTGACACCTTCTAGCATCCAATTATTTGAGATAAATTACAAACAAGCCTGACATTAATAACCAAAATTCCACATAACTGCTTTTGCCTCAGGATTGAGAAACACTTTTAGCAGTTATTTCTTTCTGCTCTTTTCTCCTTTCCAAAGGTGTATTTTTAAGAAACATTGCTGAAGCTGGCAGTGACCAGTTCCACTGGAAGGACTAAGATCCTGTACAGATGCAAGCATAAAGAGAAGAAAACTCAGGAGAAAAAGTGGTGTACAGATTCCACGATGATGCTGTGGTGCTCATCAGGTCTTACACCACTACTTCAGCCCTAGGGTTCTGAATTTGCTCAGATGAAATCACCACTTTAGCGGCTGTGATCAAATCCAAGGGGAGATGCTGTGTTACATCAGCTTTGGGCAAGAAGGTACTACATATGTTAATCTCTCTCCTACAGATCCTAGCCTAGTCTGTGGGCTAGAGAGGACACCTGTTTGACTCAGCCACTTCTGAGGATCTAAGTAACATCTGCCACCACCCCAAGGTTGCCTTATAGTTACAGCACTTTCAGTAAACTCTGCCTATGTGCCCTTCTTTGCATCCATCATTTCCTCTTAGAGTAATGTAGTCTTCAGTTGGCATCTGTGCAGGTGTCAGGGCTACAGTAAAGATATCTAGTCCAAAGTGGATAGGTGGTGCTTTGGAACTCTCCATTGTCATTCTGATCATTTTACCCACCTTAACTTTATAGTGGTATGTATGTTGAGATACAATTTATATATCTTTTATGATGATGTCACCTAGTGAAGTATTCAAAGTTGTCTTCTGAGTACCACACTGAGGACTCAAGGCTAAACCTGCCTGGGCAGACAGCAAGCCTCCAAGTGCAGACCCAGAGCTCTCCTAGCAGGATGCGGCATGTGCAGGGCTGAGGGTGACAGCAGCACCACATACCACCAGATGCAATGGAAGAGCCTGCTTCCTGGTGTTTGTGGTCCATGGATGGACAGGAGCCTGGCCAAGAGCCCATTCTTCAACAGTGACAGATGCAGTCAATATATTTCAGTTCATCTGGTCTCATCAAGTCAGTGGTAAAACCCCACTGACTTACTGGAATAAAAACAGCTGAGTGGAATGAATAGTGGAAGACAGCACTGCTCAGTAAGGCAGCCAAATCCATGTTCTGTCGAAATTTGAACTATCTCTAGAGGGAAGAAGATACACAAGCATTTTCTCCTGGCTACCAAAAACAAACAAAAATATAGACTAGAGAAGAAAATGAATGCTGTATTTATAGTCTCAAACTTATGAATCTCTTTGAATAAGTGTACCTCATCAAACAGTCATAAAAAATGAAATGAGACTATATGAATGGCTGGATGCTGGAAGAGAGCCCTTAGAAAAGGACTGGTATTTATTGTATCAAATGACATTTTTTCTTACAGCACTTTCTGAGAAAGAGGAGAAAAAGGATACTGCACCTTTCATGTTACCTGGACTCTGTGTCATTCTTTTTGCTTGAATTACACAACTGGTCTACATTTTGTGGTAATTTTAGGCTTTTAAAACAGTTTAACATAAAAAATATTTTTTTTCCAAAAATACACTGGGTTCTTTCTGTTAAAAGTCATCTTTCTCCTGTAAAAATCTTCCCCAGCACTGCATTCTTATATAAAGCACTTATTACACAATTTGCTGAAAGTGCCCTTGAGACGTTAAGATCTGAAGCATGGAGGATTTTTTTTTTCTTTTAAATGGAGAAAAAGAAAGGAAAAGGAAGAGATAGAAGAGAGGAGAAGCAGTCTGTCAAAAATTTTCATTGTCACGTCCACCTGGTTGCATCTACTATGGGCATACAGGGAAAAAAGAAAAAAATAAAAAAAGGGCAAGAAGAAAGAGGAGGAAAAAAAAAAGGAAGGAGAAGTTGGGAGTGGAAGGGAGAAATAAAAGGAAAACAAAAGTTTCATCCTAAGCCTGGGATCCTCCAGGCTGTAATATTCCAGCTGATAGAAAAAACACGGAACAAAAAAAGTAGTCTAGAAAATAGAAAGTGTTGTGATTACAAAGTTGAGCATTTCATCAGTACAAACTGGTCTTTGAACGTCCTTTGGGAGAGCAACTGTAGTGTCCAAATTGGAAGGAAAAAATACAACACCGCATGGAGGAGGATTTTTTTTCCCTTTTGGTTTATCACAGCATTTTTCTTTTTTTTCTTTTCTTTTCTTTTTTTTTTTTTTTTAATTATTAATTTTTTTTGGCACAGCTTTTTTTATTCCCAGCCATCAGAGCAAGTTCTCAGATGCAAACCAAACAGTGCAATGCCTAGCTGGTGGCTTCATGCTTCCAAGGCTGAATGTTCCAGGTGGAAACCATTCCCTCCCCCTCTGAAGTGACTGCGTTTTAACTCCTTGATGAAGGTTACGGACAAAATACTAGTCACCTGCGGCCAGGGAGAGTTGGTTTCACGGTACACTCTAACTTTGTTCAAGTTCGTACAGTTCTGGAGCTGTTAAGAATAGTTTTGAAGAGTGCTTCTCCCCACACATTCACTGCTGGTCCATTTGAAATTTCTTCTAAAACATTTCACTTCTACTTCCGCAGATCTAGAACACAAACCTGCAGGGAAAAGACCCAGCATTAAGAACCATTTCTGAAGGTGATGTGGCAGTCCCCCTACACAGGCCGATCATCCAGCTGAACATCACACTCCCCAGCTTCGAGACAGCCTGTCTCAAGCACTGGTTTGCATGCACACAAATAAAGGAACAAACCCACAAGGGAGAAAACCCAAATGAAACACACACATTTAACAGGGTTTCCCTTGGGTTACAAACATTTTGGTGGTACATCCCAGATAACACTATGGTATGATACTATTCAGTTACCTAAATACAATTCTACTTCTGAGATAGGTCCAAAATAAATGCAGGCTTGGCAGGCATGACAGTGGACACGTGACCATTTGGAGCAGCTGCTGGAAGCCAGGCATGGCACCGTCTCAGATGGCACAACTAAGCTCAAGCAACTGAATCGTGATCGAGGTGTGCCCCTTGTTAATACCAGTTGAAAAATACTGCTCCAAAGTAGTTATGCCAGCCAGCCATGTGTGTCCTTCGTAAGCTGATCATGATACAACTACAATTTTTTAAAAGTAACATTCACAGCGAAAACAGTAACGAATAATCAGTATTTCCATGGCAATATTTCTCCTTTACCACGTGATGAAATCTTTGGGAATCATTCCTTTAGCTACTCTTATTCAAGAGTAAACTTCTGTGGGATCAAACTTGGAAGGCTCCAGGAAAACCGTTTGTTAGAGAGTTGACTGCTGTGGTATGATCTTCATTAAAAACTGACAATGACAGAAACAACGCTACTGTTGTTCTTGTTAAATATGCATTTAAAAGTCATTCTCATTTTCAGCAATATTCACCTATTCCATAATCATTCGTCATTTACAATAGAAACATAACCTTCTAGCATTCAAAACCTTTCAAAGCAGGAGCGTTTTCAATATACTCCACAGAGCTACTTATTTATGTCTTGAGCTGCCTTCACCTTTAGCTCTGGCCACAAGAGGTGACACGGCATGCATGTATTTTGTTGGTGCTCCCCAGAAAAGAAATCTCCACTCAACCTTTACAATGTTTAAAGATCCTTACCGATCCGTCTGATGCGCTTGCTCCCACTTTGTCTCCTCTAGCATTCCAGCAGACTTCAAAGATGCCCCCGGTGCCTCTGTAGCTATGTACTAGAGTTCCACTCTACAAGGCAAAACAGCATGCAGACATTTGATACAGCAGTTCCCCTTCTTTTTCTCTGTCGTGTGGCACTACGTTAAAAAGCAAGTGAGGGGGAGCTATTCCCATCACCCAGCTGTGGCTGTCTCCATAAGGTGCTGAAATTAGGAAACTGGTCTTTGAAAATGAAGAGCAACAGGCTCCTCCAGAAACAGTAGGAGTGTTTTTGTCAACTCTGTAACAGTAAAGGCCTGGGGAGTTAGGCTGTAAGGTCTTCTCTAAAGTTTGTTGCTATTTCAGGTTGTGAGGCATCAGTATCCACAATTAAATCTGTGGAATTATGATGTCCCACTTTTCTCCAGAATATCATCAGTCCCCAGCTTGTACACCCTTTGTATCTATCACTTCCTCTTCAGAAAGTCTAAGCCAGGAGCATCAGACTCACACCTAAACTCAGCTTGTAACTACATAAAAGTATCCCCTATTGCTAAGAACCAATCCACACCTCTGCTTCACAAAGCTGATGACCCAACACAATGTACCTTTTCATGCATGCTAGGTACTTCAGCATACACAGAACACTGAGCAGAAATGTACTGGACAGTCACCTCACTGCACCTGAGTGACTCAATTGCTATGGATTTGTATCAGCCAACACAATCAGGTTGACCTTGGCTGGCAGGTCATATGTGGCAGAAGTACACAACATTTTCCATTTAAGCTTTTGCTATTAATGTGTCACCTAAACCAGCATGCGCTTCACATGAACAAAACAGTACCTGAGTATTCCATATATGGACACATTTGTCAAAGGACCCACTGGCTAGATATTTTCCATCAGGACTAAAAGCTACACTGTAGACGGGCTCTTGATGTTTTGTTAATGTATGGATGCAGACTCCTCGGTCAACGTCCCACAGCCGAACAGTGGAATCAAACGAAGCACTGCAACAAGCATTCAAACACAAGCATGTAATAATTTGGGTGTTAATCCATTTGTAGTGTGATACTGTAAACGTTATAAAAGAATACCACAGTTTTTTTGGCTAAGCAAGACAGTGTTTCAAACAGAAAAGCTAATATGTACCACAGCCTTTATGGTTTTTATGTTAAGAACTATAGCTATAGAACTGAATTCTTGTATGAAGACCCTTTGGGCTTATCTATGTGTGCTGTATACAGCCCTAAGAGGGCCAAGCTCCCTCCTTTTGAGATTCTACCTGCTATTATTCAGGAAGGTCGAATATATATTATCATTAATAGGATAAAGGGTTCCAAACAGGTCTTATTCCTAATGTGAATTCACACTGTTTAATGAATTAACATTCTGTAATTCTCTAGAACTGTGGTTCCTTTTGCTTTGTTTCAGGGTTGCTTTTTGCTACACTCCATGTAAATCCCAAACTACGGGCTTAGAGAAAGGCAAAGGAAATAACTGGTATTAAAAATAATATTAAAAGAATAACTCTGAGAAAGTGAAGTTTTTCACCGTCCACTCCCAGACTAAAGAGTAAAATAAATAAACCAGTTTTGACACAACTCCTCTCCAAACTCCATACCCCATGAACTAATTTGACAATCCCATAGTACTACCATCAACTGTCATTCTATAAGCAAATATATTTCCTAAACTCAAAGAATAATTTTGCACAGATTTTCTAGTGGATCTTTAAAGATTATCCAAGCTTTTCTCTGTTAGCTAAGAAGGCTACAAAAACTGTCTGTATCTGCCCAGGTGAGTTTTTAACCTGACCCTGGTTAAGAACCATTCCAGCTGGCTGAATAGGTGTCATCTGCCTCAGTACTTTCACTCATAACAACCCCATGCTGAATGTGAAGGCGCAATGTCAAATTTACAACCCTGTAACCAAGGCAGCTGAAAAGTTAAATATCACATGACTCAATTTTCCTTCTTTTCCCCCCTTCCTTTTTCAAATATGAATCCTTTCCCTTTGTATCCATCCCTCTGAGTTACAGATACTTTTTAGTAGAATTGCCTTCAGGAAGACTGATGGTGACGTGACAGTAGGGTTACATGTCAGAAAGACGATCCTTCTTGGCAGACAAGAGAAAGAGGTACGTTTTTTACCTTGCTAACATGATGTTGGAGTTTGGGTTGCTGGTGCCTGGTCCCGTAGGGCTCCATTTGATAGTATAAATCTCTTTGCTGTGAGCCTGAAGATCATGTACACAGGTATCTTGCTTCATACTCCAAATCTAAGTCAGAGTAATAATGAAGGGGATAAACAGCAGTGTTACTAATCTCTTCTCAGCTGAGTTATTTCAGTCCTATGTTATTCTCACCATTTGTTTATTTAAGATCTTGACCACATACATACACATAAACATAATTTATTAATGCAGTAATTTGGCACACACATTAAAATAACTCCAATAGGGGAAGGAGTCACATATCTAATAGTATTTATTCAATAGGTGAGAAGAATTAAATAGTTGCTGTACTACCCATAGCCCATAAGTGTATTTTCATAAAGAAGTTAAAGGTAATCTATTTAGAGAAGTTTAACTTGAAGTTTAAGTCACACAGTCATTTTAAAAAATGAGAAGAAGATTGCAGTAACTGCTTAGAACCTAGCAATTTTCTCTTATGCAAGTAAAATTTTCCTTTCCCTCTTGAACTCCATTTGTCTTCCTCATGCTTTTAACAGTGCAGAAGATGGAAGATGATCAGCTATTTATGCAGTGTTATATGGTCAAATACTTCAGCATGAGATGAAGAATATGCTCAACAGAGATGACAGGTAATTTAGTCCATCTTTTCTTAAGCTAACTGAGAAAATAAGATGAAGCTAATTCACAGCAGGGAAAATAACTCAAATTTAGTCACTCAGTTTCACAGAGATACCAAAAAGGTAGCAATGGTTTAACTCAGTTGTTGTAAGTCTGCACTATGAGAGGAATGATGAGCTCTTATGATGAATTCCCATCAGTGGACCTGAGACTGCTTTTGGAAATGCTACATAAAGCTCAGCCATGTTCTGTGGCTAACAGGCAGTATGTTCCAAGAAGTTAGAGGAAAATATAAAGAACTCCAAAAATAGAGAAGAAAAAGAAGTCTGGGAGGACTGATTTACGAAGGAAAAGGAAGAAGAATAATTTCCTGAATTTGGAGCATTTGCAGTCTCCATCACTGAAGGTTTTTAAAAACAGGTGAGGTCAGGGATAGCAAACCACTAGTTCTTGTGCCAAATTCAGTGGTCAGGAATTTGAACTGGTACCAACACCACCGAGCCACAGTGGTTTTTAAAACACAGCACACAACTGGGCACCAAAAAGTTGTGCTACCACTGGGTCAGGACGTTTAAGAGAGCAAGAACAGTTACAGCAATACTGCTTTGTGGCAGCATAACAGACGAGGTGCTCCCTTTTCAGCCCCATTTTCTGTAAATTTCCAATTCTGTGAGTAGTTTGCAATAATACATTTAGAATCCAGAATAATGAAAACCTCAGTGGGTATACGTGGCAAAGCCAGAGCAGAACAGCAGAAGTCAGGCTGCTTATGAAGAGGAAACATTTGTAACACTGACATTCACTTAGCTCTCATCTGCAAGTTCTGCTGCTCTCTCAGTTTCATGCTAGAAATGTCCCACGCTTCAGCTGTGTCAATCAGCAAGGGAAAGAGGTGTGAGTCTTAATTAACACAACCACACTATGAGGAAATTATTACTGGTACAATTCTATCCACAAAACCAAATCTTTCCTGGGATATTTGCTTTGTTCAAGGAACCAGCATAAATCAACAGTCCAGCAGGAGGGCTTTGCTTTTAGAACATACAGCTATTCCCACACAGATATAGCCTTCATTTGATGTCGCTGGGAAAAGAGAATGAGAGAGAGGGCTTTGGGCTGGAAAAGCTCTATTGTGGAAAGCATTTCTGCAAACCAGATATTAGCAATACTGTGCTGATACAGTACCAGGTGTGCTGGTAAAGCAGCTTATGCTGCCTGCGAGCCAGAATATATATTCATTCCACCCAACTTCAGGCCCCTAGCAGAGGCATGTACATCAGCAGCACAGCTACCACACACTTCCTATACAGGGAATGGATAAAGACAGGCATCTTCAGAGAGGAATTCAGATTTTTGATGGGCTCTGAATACATATGTTGTGTTCCATTGCTTAGTCCAAGACTATTAAAAAGAGAAAAAGAATACTCATATGGCTCTAATGAAGTTATTTCAGAAAAAAAAAAGACACCAAAGGGAAAGAAAACGATTTTTATATTCTTTTTCAAAGTGCAACCAATCGACTGCTTCTTATCAGGCTTGTGCTTCTGTTGACAGGTATGCAGGTGTATATATATCTGTGTATATTTAAGTATGACTTTTCTGTGACAATGACATATCAGTCATGCAACACTTATTTGGATAGTATGTCTCAATTTTTCCAGTGCCTGCTTCTCTGTGCTCTATCTTTCAGATTAACTTGTAAGAAATATGGGACAAAATGGAAACTACTGTTCATGCAGAGTTTTAAGTGGTACAGCACTATCGTTCTGGAGAAGATGAAAAAATAGACATAATTTTTGTCCTTACTTTCTGAACAGCAGGAATGGAAATTATATTACCTTTAATGTCATATCATCGGAGCAAGATGCTAGTAGCATGCCAGATGGGTCCCATTTGATTGCATTAACTTCGTTCTGAAATAAAGAGTGAATTTTTAAAGTAAACATTCCAGTCACTGCACTGTATTGGGCACTCAGCAGAGGGCACTCAAGGTTTATGTATGGAGCAAGTTAACCCACAAATTACAGTCCTGGGTGCTTTTAGGGGTGAACAAAAGCAGTGCTGCCTTCCCAACACACTGTTTAAGTGGCATTTTGGAGTGGAACCATTTTATACTTGTGAACAATACAATCAGTCTTCTGATGTGTGTTCTGGCATAAAGTCTCTCATATCCTTTCTTCATATGCTGGGATTTAAATAAACCCTCAAACAAGACAGATTGATACAGCATTAGCTTCTTTTTAAAATGGAGGCATTTATTTCATCAATATTCTGACAAGTGTTCAATAGAAAACACTGATACTGGTGGGGTGTAAAGTTTTGTGGAGTTTATAATTCTTAGTATTGCAGCTCTACAACAGTGTTGGTCTCTTTAAAGAGACATATATACGTGTAAATGAATGCAAAATGGTACATTTTATATAATCATAAAAAGCACCAGCATGTTGCTAGGAATGTACAACCAGTCACGAAATATCAGTTTAACCACAGACTAGGAAAAAGGTCTCCAAATGCAGTTTTTCCTCAATGGGAAGACAGCAGGTTCTGGAAGTTAACATCTAAATTACAGGTTGGTAGATGATAGCAGTTTTTCTCACAAATGAAAGCTAGAAAAAGTAGCCTTTGATGGTTATTAAATACCACCAGGAAAAGAGGGGGGAAATACATCTCAAATACATCTTATTAGATTAAATTGATTCTAAAATTGAACAATGGCTGGGGGTAAATTGTTTTCTCCTTATTTACAGCTCTCATTAACTAAAGAAAATTAAGCTAGTGAAAAACAAAATCTTATTTATTAACATGCCTTTAGTCTGCAGCTCATGCTACATATAAACACTCTCACTGTTTAAGCCGCAGGTTTTGCCTCCTACAGTGATTTAGAACATTTTATCCCTTCTCACAGACTGTGAATCATTCCCAAGGAATATGTTTTTAGGGAAGCAATGGGGTGTAACACCTTTAGTGCTAGAACACACCCTGCAAACACATCTGCCATCCTTGTAATATGCTGCTAACGTTTTGGTCTTAAACTTACTGTGTGTCCTTGAAAGGTTTTAACGGGACGATCACAGCCAAGTCTGCATACATGAATGCACATGTCAGTGCTGCAGGAGGCAAAAGTAGTGTTGTTCTGCCAGTCTACGTCCAGAGCAGGAGCTGTGAAGTACAAACAACAGAAGGAACATCAAGGAACATGGCAAAGAAACAGCTACCCCAAATCATTTTTCTCCTGTCACCTCTATGGATCAAACAGACTACAGGCTAGTTCTTGGCCTGTCACCTGCTGCCTGTTATAGGGCTGATTAGGAACTGTCTGAAGGGCACAAATTAATTTTTCTACTGCAGTGGATAATCTGGATGCCTTGCATGGCGTCTGTTGATGAGAATCTTTTGGGTTGTTACATAAGAGGGGGTAAAACACGACCTCCACCCTCTCTGCTCCCAGCTACATATGTCTCTTGGGCCATTTCTAGCATTCAACCCTCTGTAAGCCAGTTCAGTGAAGAAACTGAAAGAAAACTAATCCAAAAAAACCCATGAATAATTCCATCTGGGTTAGAAACTATGTTCCTGTGAATGCCAGACACAACACACTGGGAAGGTAAAGACACAGGTGGCATCTCCCTTTGCACCAGCTTTATGCAACCACCCATACAAACCTATCGCTCTGTGCAGGCACCCGGATTAATAACACTGACATTCAGTTTAATTTGGTTTGGGACTGATTTTAGACAGGTACCATTGATCAAGCTGATCTGAAATGAGAGGAAGAGTTTCTGTAGAGGGTTTGGCATTAACTAGTACTGAACTAATGAAACTTTGTAAAGATAGCACATGAACGTGCAACTAGTGCCTGTGTGCAACATACACACTTTGCAAAAAGTATGGGAAAAATACCCCAAACAACTTTTACAGCATGTCACTGCAGACTAAAAGCATGCGCAGGAGCCGGAGGGTGCTCCTGACAAACAGCTTGCTTGTGTTTCTTTGCTGCTTGGGTTTTTTCCCTCAGGAAAGAGTTTAGCTGCCCTCCAGAGGATGACATAAGACTTGCTAAAATACAGAAATCTTCATTCTCAGCACAGTATAGTGAGAAGAGTGTGTCAAAAAGAGACCAGCATATAGTAAAGAAAGCTGAACCTCTTTCTGGCAAAGATACAATGCAAATTTATCATTAAAATGAAACCAAGAAATTCCTTATTCAAATATGTTCAGAAAGATACTTTGGTAATACAGAGGTGAAAGGATATCTGGTCTTCCAAGCCTGTTAGATTTAAATATGTTTTTCCTGTTGTAATTTTTATGAACTGCAGAATGAAACAAGATCCCCATCACCTTCTGAATCATCAGGTAGCTCCCTAAATGAGAATGGAGGGCTGAAATTGTTTCACATACAAGTATTTTTTACAGTATTAATGAAAAAGCTCAATAATTCTGTATGACAGATAAGGAATTACTACATTGCAGAAATATAAAGGAAATTTCTTTAAGAAAGGCAGACTACTTTTGAGTTTTCCAATGAACATGAATGAGGGTCATGAAACAAAAGATTTTGTTTCTTTAACTGCCTCTTTGTCTTTCTTTTTACGTTGCAAGCTTTGCATTATTAATTCAGAGTAAACAAAAATCTATCATCATTAATAACAATATGCCTTCAGGGCTAATATCTAGTATGATATGTATGAATCAAAAAGTAATTTTCAGAGAGCTACTGGCACCTAAAGCTACGGATTTACATTGCAGCATGATTTGAAACATAAAGTGCTGATAATTAACACTGATTCATTTATTTGTGTACTCAATCATATGTTTACTGGAGAAGTAACTACATAAAGTGGTCTGAAAGAAAACAACCAAACGTGATTCTTGATGCAAGTAATCAAATTGCCAGAGTGTTCCCAAAAGCACAAGATACTAGCCAACTGCATAAAACCAATTAGAATATCATCTAATAAAAGCAGCAACAAATCTGTAAGAAACACAGCTAAAATAAAAACCAACAATAAAAGTGTTAAAATAATTATCCATTAATTTAGGCTTTTTCTGAACAAATTTAGGTGTGATTCAGAGCACTTAGATCACAGAATCATAAAAAGGTCTGGGTTGGAAGGGGCCTTAAAGATCATCTAGTTCCAACCTCCCTGCCACGGGCAGGGACCTTTCACCAGGCCAGGTTGCTCAGAGCTCCACCCAACCTGGCCTTGATGGAAAGGGGCATCCCACCCAGGGATGGGGGCACATCCACAGCTTCTCTGGGCAAACTGTTCAGGTGCTTCACTACCTCCCCAGTACAGAATTTCTTCCTAATATCTAATCTAAACCTAACCTCTTTCAGTTTGAAACCATTCACCCCTTGTCCTGTAACTACACACTTAGATATCTAAAACTGGGTCGTACAAATAGCTCTCTTGGTAGCAATCAACCAGTTTTTGTTCCTGCATGCATAGACATCAGTCCACATCTATCACCAGATGTCAAAATTGGATTATTTTGCTCCATTTTAAAGAAATAAGTTTTGTGAATACATATTTTGATCAAATGCCCCACGATGACTCATAGTTTTGCAAAGAATAATGAAACCCTAGAAACTACTTATCTGCATAATTATGTATTTTGACTATAAAACCTTAAAAGTTACATGGGAATACTAATGCACCAATGATATGGAGGCCTTCAAGACCTAGAAAAAGGAGTTTTTCTTATGTATTTTAAGATGACAGTTTTGTTCATGTAGTTGTAAACTAATTTAATTGTTGTGAAGCAGCAGGAAGTAAAAAAACTTACGTTATTTCCAGGCCAACTTTCTCCAAACTTCAAAGAAGTATGTATTAAAGGAAGTGTACTCTGCCTAGACTAGACTTTAATTGTTAAAATGCCATCTTTAACCCTTATGTAGACAAGGTTTTCAGATTCCAGATATGGGAAGGAATTTGCTGTTAGTTTGTTCTGGTGAGCAAGTGATTCAAAGATGACAAGGTGAAGTCTTTGTGGCTTTAGACTTGTGAGGACAAAGATTCCATCATGTGAGGACAGACTCTGGCTGATTTTAAGAGGGTTGTGTAGGACATATGCTTTTGGCTTATCAACAACTTCCTGAACAACTAATTGCTTTACTTCCCTATGAAAACGTATTTGAAGTACTGAAAAAAAAATTAAAAATATTAGCTTCTCCACATCTACACTTCAGTTGTGTCTTATGGTCCAAAGACAAGCAAGCATGTACAGTAAGAATTTTTTAAATAAGTCTATTACTGCAGATGGACATGGCCATATTGCACCGGAAGATGTAGAGAAGTTTTCAACTTGCTAAAAGGGGAATGGAGGGATATGTCCTTGATGCACATCACGGCTAAGACAGCTTATATGTCAGTGAATGTGATTCTGAAGGGGCAACCAAGTTCTGGATCCACAACTATTTAGATTAATAGATGGGGATCAGAGGATTAAGAGTCTCATTAACTAAACCGCTCTACAGTGCAAAGTTTGCTGTTATGGAACAGTTATGATAGATAAATAAATGCCACTGTGAGAAAATCTGTCAGCAGACACCAACTCCTCTAAACTGACAGTTGCATTAATAAGCGAGGAGATGAGTGACAAAAATGCAGAGTATGGATTTGCTGTGTACATGGCCATACTTTTGGTCTTCTGTTGAATAATCATTCTGACGTGCATATTATTAACATCTGTGAAACTGCGAGAATAAGAACTAGAAATTGAGCTGAAAAGCATGGGCAAATCAATGTTTTAGAATTAGCAGCAAATATGTGTTTTTAAACACCACTAAGCACCTTGTGAAAGCCTGCTGTGTTTAAAGATGGATTAGTTGCAGCAAACACACAGGAAGATGAACATTTCTAGTATCATCACCTGGAATGTCTTGGTGGTTTTAAACCTGATTTGACTATACCCCTTAAAAATCTTCACTATGACAACTTAGCCAGTTTGGATCACAAATCCAGCCATCATCTTACAAGTCTGGTCTCAGGTGAATTTCAGATTGCATCACTGATTGCCTGATAGTCAAGATCTGTAGTATCTGTGTCATCTCCTGTCTTTTTGCAGCAGATTGTATCTACAAACGACCATCCAAGTAAGGTTTTGGTGCTGCAAGGTTTTGAAATTCAAGGTTGGTAACTGACTTCTGATAATCAGAGAGAGCAAATATTGAAAAATTTCAAGTCAAAATTAAAAGCTAAGAAATTCCTGAGGATCTTAGTGCAGTGGTGAATGCAAGCTACATGACAGATCTGCCTGCTTCTCCCTCAAGTCAGCTTCATTAGAAACAGGAACAGAAAGAACAGAAAAGAGCCCAGGAACCTCCACTGAAAATTTTCTCCATAAATCACCACTTGGTACTATTCAAGCACATATGATAACGACAGAATTGTTCAGTTAGGTAGACATGGCTGGTGTATAAATCCTTTCTTAGAATCAGTTTGATTTTCAAATCTGATTCTCACAGAACTGCATCTTTCTGAAATGAGAATAAACTCGCAAGCCATGATACTCAGGATAGTTAAAGCACAAAAAATTTGACTGAAACTTTTCTCTGGCAGATACATTTTTACAAAAGGATAAAGTACACTGAGAAAATTAAAAACTGCATTTCATTTTCCTAAAAAGAGTTATGCAAAAAATTACCTGAATGGAAAGGAAATTGCTGTTTAGCTTCTCCTGTGTGAGCATCCCAAATTATTGTTGTCTGTATCCAAAGAAAAGGGGGAAAAAAAATTAGTGACTGTTCAGCTCAGATTAAAAAAAACAGAAAGCACCTTCACTGAGGGGCAATTCTAAAAGATGCCCCTGATAAAATTAGTGACTGCAGAGCACCTTGTGTGCTAAACAGCTGAAAACCCAGAAATCGCTTCCATGTATTACAGAATAATAGTGTAAGTGTAGATAAAGAAGTAACATGCCTACAGAGGAAGCAACAGAACTATGAAGAATGGGTATATTCTCTTTGAATAATGCTAGAAGACAAAACTACGCATTTTTAATAAGCATTTTGTTAAGGTTGTTTCAGTTGTCTTCTTTAAAGAATACTTTTTCCCCTTTCCAAAGATGCAAGTTGCATTCTACTCTGAAACTATGCTGAAATACATTTCTAACAATCAAACCAACAGGTGAAATGTTTATCTATCAGCAGAGTACATATCACTTCTTGCCACTGAGGCGGGACTAGAGTGTAACTGGCTTACTACAGGTTTTAACCCATACTCACAGCACACATAAGCATGTCCCCTGTAGATCTCAATAACATCTTCTGAGCAAACTGTCAATTTATTGGGAGTATATACTTCCAGAAACTAAATTAAGGATGCATCATCCTGCTGAGAATGGATCATCTAAAGAATTGCTGCTTTTACTGAGAATGTAAGTTTGCCAGAGTAATGGAACTACCATTGGAAGATGAGTGTAGCTGAACATATACTGAGTATAAGCCACTATTAAAGGGAAGGATGTGAAAATACATGGATTCATCTAGCCTACAAATCAAATGTACAAGCCTCAGCTAATTTCCATAGACTCCCTCTGCCAGGTGCTGGAAAGAAGCACTGTCAGTGCATCTCACCGAAACACAGGCCATGCAGCACATCACTTGGAAGTGTAGTTTTTCTCTCTGAATTTTATAAAGGAAGCCAAGGATGACACATGCATCTAATTTTTAGACATCGAAAGTTAGGTAAGATGAATGCTGCATACTTTCCAGTTTCAGTTTTAATGGATGTGTGCTCATCATCATCAGTCATCTGTTCATTTTAATCTCTAATGTGCACTTAGCTGTAACTACTATGTTTTGCTTGATTTTGAGTTCAGAACTACCATTTTTTTGCATATTTGCTTAGGAAGCCAAATATATTTTATTCAAATAAAAGTGTTTCAATAATTAGATGAGCTCAAAGGTGCAATATTTTTAAGATCACTTCCTTTCTGTCAATAATTAGTTGATAAAACTACAAAAGTAAGTACTGGAAGCAGTTCATTTCTTAACTGTGACACACTTAAGATACAATTTTACACATTTTTTTTTCAAGGTAAAATATTTTCCATAAAAATAGTACACATTTATGCAGCCTCAAAATGTAATCAACATGCACTAAAACATATTAAAGAAATGTAAACTTTCCAGGATGTCTGGAGAAGAAGAAAATAATCTTAAGGAATTCAACAGCATAAGCTCACTGATCAGCATATTTATATGTTACAATAATGTATTTTTAAAACTCACTTTATCAACACCAGCACTTAAAATATAATTCCCCTTTTTGTTCCATTTCAGGGCAAATATTGGACCTTTATGTTGACCTAAGGTGCTTGCAAGGTTACCTGGAATAAAGAAAAGGTTATTATTACAATTTGCTTACAAATTAGTCATATTACAGTTCACTGCTGCTTGATGTTTAAGAAAATAAATGTTGTTTTACTTACCATCTTCTGTCCATATTCTTGCAAAACCATCATACGAGCCTGTAGCCAATAGTGTTCCATCACTCTGTTGGGATATATATAAATGGCAAAGGTCAACACAAGATGAAATCTACTTCAACAAAACCTTTTCCTTCTTTTTTAAGGTTTGCTACTTGTGAGTTATGGGAATTCTGAGTCCACTCATTGAGACAAATGATTTAAAGTATGCAGACAGCACAGAGGAAATAAACCCCTCTAACATACAGTGAAATACTGGGCTATACCATCAGATATGAGTCATTTAATCAAAAAGATCAGAAAAAGAAAACAAGATATAACAAGTTCTGTGGGTTTCTTCCAGGTAACAAACAGATACTATTTCTTAGACATAAAGAGCCCATAAGACATCAACAGGTCACCTAAAACCAGACTAAATGCCAGTTCAGTGAAATTCAGGCACCTATACTTGAAAAAAGGACCTAAACTCGTAAGCCACCTCAACTCACAGTTTACACCTTGAATGCTATCTACCACCAAGAAACTTTCTACTTGTCTGAACACACACTCCCACATGTGCTCAGGGGCACAGTACCATGATGGACAGCTCGAGAAAAGTTGGATTCATGGGGCCCAATTTAGAGAAAAAAAAGACCATGGATCAGCGAATTACACATATTCTTCTGGAAGGAACCCTTCACAGAAGGGTATCTTCTGTGCAACCAATGATGCTGCAGTGACTGGGCCACAATGAAAATAATGAAAATGGAACTTGACTCTTCCATCTGGTAAGACGAGTACTGTTGGAGCTGGGCATTTAGTCTTTCAGCTTTTCAGCACCGGGATTAAGAGTGAGACTCATCCCATTTATCTCCAGGTATCCAGAAGTCAGGAGTTAGTTTAAAAGTGCAATCTAGTCTCCCTGTATAACTAACAGCATCATATAACTGCACCTCTGGAGTGTAATTCATGATTCCATTTGCTTCAGATTATGCCCAGACCAGCACAAAGGCATGTCTTGCTGTTTCTGCTGACTTAAAGTGAGTCTAGATGACTAGTTTAGATGGTTAAATCTATGGGAGATGAATCCAGTCTTTGGTACCATGATCTGAATATGATCTGTAGAAATAACCTTTCTTACTATAACATAAATCACATAAATCAGACAAGAACTGATTCGATATCACAAGTGTGAAAATTTCACAGGGAAATATGATTAATATTGTGGTTCTAAATAAACAACAAAGGCAGATGTCATTTCTAGCTTCATGAATAGAAAATTAGGAAAAAGCATAAAATAATCCTTTGAAACATATGCCCACTCCAATCCTCCAAAACCAGTGAGTCAGAGCAGTTGCAGATTTAATTAAAATGTATAATGATGATGGGGGAAAACAACAAAACCTAAGACAACCTAATCTCACTGTGATATACTCTTATCTGGATCACTGATGAGAACAAAGGTGTTAAGGGCAAAAAGGAAAGGAAAGCTCAGGGACTAGATATAGAGCTAATCCAAATGTGTTCATGGTAATTAACATTATTTGGAAAACTCAAAGTACATTGGAAGCATTCAAGTGTTTGAATTAGGAACATTTCCTTACTTTGAGTACTAGCACAATGCAAGTAAAATACTGTGATCAATGAAGTCTGGAAACGTAAGGAACTACTACAGGAAATACTAGACAATGCCTTATATGTTTTGGACAACTTTTCTCATAACTGTTCTGCATCCATTGCATGTTTTCCTCTTTCAATTACTCTTTTTCTACTCCTAAATTCAGTTTTTTCAAACTATTTTTCTTTACCGTGATATCCATAGGAAACAAGTGATAAACATTCTTGAGTTTTATTTGTTTTGTTAGCCTACCTCTACTTTTTGTAGTATTCACCAAGTTCTTTCATTGTGCAAATATAAAATACATAGAGGAAAACTACCTTGTGCAGTGGCCTTATCTTTTACTTTTGTGAAGCACCTAGCTCACCTGAAGGACAATAATATTGCAGTGAAGATTAATGAAATCTTGGTCTCTGGCCAGCAACTGAGACTGTACAAAACTGCTGAGAATCCTTTCTGGTTCTTAATTTTTAATCTGTTTTCCTATGAAAACAAGACTAATGTGATCACTCTGTCTGTACTAATATCAGCAAAACAGACAGAATGTAAATGATCTCAAGATTAATTAAAGTTCCTGTAGGGTCTTGTAAGCTCTTTTTACAATGCTTGGTGGCAGAAAGGAGACATGAAGCAGCCTTAAAGCTGCCCAGGGACACTGCCCAGACACTGGGGATTCTTAAAAATACATGTCCTCTCTGCTCACTTCAGTATTCTCTGTGCAGGAGCATGTTACCTAAGAGAAGAGGTTTTGCAGGATGAAAGTAAAAGGGATTAGGTAAGACAATTTCACTCAGAAGGTGAGTGGGTAAAGATAGAACAACTACACATGCTCCTACCAAGATAAAGAAAGTAATGTGAATATGTTTTGCTGTGCACAGCATAATTCAAATAAAAGAGAGCCTTGAGAGTCCAACCTCAGAAAAACCTTCACTGGTGCTTTTATCTCCTTACATGCTAAAATAAAGTAACTCTGAAATGCAAATACATTATTAATTAGGCTTCATTATTACACAGGTTGCTTGCTTAATCTTCGTTCTTAAAGTTAACTTCAGTTTATTTTTACCCATGCTCTTAAAATAGAGATACAAATATATAATTGTTAAGCTTGAAGATGGCAACAATCCTGGAAAATTACAGCCTGTAGGGGAAAGTTCAGCTATTATGAGTATTTGAAACTGGAGGTCAGTAGGTTAGGACAGAGCTTCTGGTCACCTCAGATATAAAAGATTCAGAGTAGCAGCTGTAATTGCCTCTGAATTAAATTTAGACAGTTAAAAACCATGCACAGTCTTAGAAGTTAGCTTACATTCCAGTCCAGTGAAGTCACATCCTTATTGCTGGGGACATCGTGTCCTCCTTCTCTTATGCAGTGCCTCAGAACTAGCTGAGTGGAACCGCTGTTGCTGTTTTCATTGAGATTCCATATTCTGGCTGTTGAGTCTCCGGATCTATAAAAGCAATTGTGGAGAGCTGAAAACTCCTCTTCGTGTCGACCCATCAAACTGTAAAAACTGCTATTTCTGTTTTCACTGAGAGAATATTACGGCCTTGTAAGAGACTGGAGGAATGGCTGACTGGCTCAAAACTACCAGGAAGTGGAGGGGGAGCAGGGTGAGCTCTGGGTAGGTGGGAGGGTGTGCCACCAGTTCCACACTCTAATGGGAGCGGCTGACCGTGTGCCTTAAAGTTTGCCAAGTTAAGGTTTGAGAAGTGCCTTACTTTGTCTGGATGTTTTAAAGATTGCTAAGTTAAAGTTTGCCAAATGCCTTGTTCTATCAGAATGTTCTAAATTTTGCAAGTAAAAGTCTTTGAACGTCCTGAGAATTCTGTTGTTTCTCCCGTGCAGTGCCAAGAGCAAATCCAACTACCTTTCTCTAAACCTACCGAGCAGACCGAGGCATCATAAGCCTTTAAAAAGTAATTTTTTCTTTCCAAATCCTTCTGCACTCCATATAATCTTTAAAAAATGCTAACACACATTTAAATTATGTCTATCATCTGAATCCACGTAATAATTTGGTTTATTCAAAGAAGTTTTACCCAAAACACATACACATTCTACACTTTGCACTTCATGCCTTAAAGTTAGTATCACCATAACTGAGATAGTCTGGGGCAAGACATTATTACAAACATAACACTGAAGAGAGACAACAGAGACAGACACACACAGGCTGTGCCACGTGCCTCCTATAAAAAGTGTGCACATGAGCTCCAAAAGGCTTGCTGAGTCCCTGGTGTTCTCGGAGTTGCTGCAGGCTCTGAGCACAGGGTGACAGGACCCGCAGGATCAGCACCTGCAGAGCTGTGCACTGTCACCTTGGCAGCAGCCTCGGGGAAGTGGACCTCTAGCAGTGTGATAAAGGTGCTGCAGTGTCAGCTCCCTGGTCCTGCCTGGGTTCCTCTGACAGCTACTGTGCAGGAGCAGGAGGGGAACTTAAGGCTGCCTTTAATTTGTCCATGGCCCGTTCATTATGTACTTCTGTTCAGACAGACCAGAACACAGCCTTTGACAGAAGACGTCTTGTAAAACAGCCTCTCTGCATTAAATCAAGCTACAAAACCTAAAGATTAGGAAAGTAGAAAGACAATTTAAATTATTTTTTAAAATCTTAATTTCATTTTCTACGTTCATGTCTACAGGGTCCATTGCTGTCTGTAGCTTGACTGCTCAGCTCATGTTGTCTGAAAAAGTGGCAAAATAGCTACTGACATAGTAGAACAAGACAGAGACAGCATCAGGATTTTGATCTATTTTATAGGCTGATTATTTTCCACAGAGGTGTTTTTAATGCAGGTTGAAACCCTGATTTTGCTTAGAAAAACTTCTGAGGAGGAAGTTTATAATTATCTGCTTGTAAATAATATATTTATTTTGACTTTGCATAAATTTTTCTTCTAATGAAAAACATCTCTGAGGTAGAAACCAATTTGCAATGGAGTGGAAGAGAGTATGATTTCTAGTTAATTCTCTCACTCCCCCTCCTCCTTTTTTTAAAAACAATCAATAACAACAAAAATCAAAACAAAGTACCCTGGATTGCTTGTTTTGCCCAGAAGGCAACTTTTATTTACATGTAGGTAGAAACCTGGAGCAGAATTAGAATCTCTCTTATACATCCAAGAATTCATACAGTCTAGATGAAATTCCAGTGTTGAGATACCTGTTGTGTTAGCTTTCCCTTTTTTAAAGTAATGACTAAAACTTCCTTTCCTATACACTAACAAGGAGGAAAAGTCTTTCTTCGAAGACTAAAAACCTGAGATCCATTTTTGCTTTGATAAACCATGTTTTACTGAAAAGGAAATCCATCACGTGTGAATATTAAATTTTCTTTTGGCCTACTAATAAAACATTTTAATTATTTATACTAAAAATCCCAGGCAAATTTTAAACACTTGACATGTCTTCAAGTGCAAATATTGACCATGCAATTATTGAACTTCGTTGATCTCTGTGCATTATTTTACCAATAATTTAGCCAAATTTTACACAAACAACAGTTAAACTGTAAAAGCAGAAACCTCTCTGCGTGTATCAGTGGTTCTGAGCTCTGCTGGGTCATGGCACATGGGGAATGTGCCCCCAACTCCTCTGAACCTTTTGTGCCAAGCTGAGATGTGATGGTTGGTCAGGACTTTGCTTAGCTACTGCTGTACAGCCATTCTTTAATTTCTGGTACTTTATCTTTCATGTAAGTGATTAAAAAGTAATTCAAATCAGGGTAATTTTGGCCACCACAGAGAGCTGTGACTGTAATATAAATCCTTACTTCTTCAGAGGTCTGAAAAACTGACAATTTCACACATGTTGTCCGGCAAATTAACAAAGTTAATTATGAGGCTCAGAAGTTAAGGAACATATTTAATTGTGATAATTAACAATAGTGGGAACATAAGTCTTTCAAGGCCTGTTTTATTGGTTAACATGCTAAGTAGGAAATTCCTTCAGTGTTGGCTTCTCCACTATATAAGAACTCCAGGACAGTCCTGCCCTCATGGTAATAATCCAGCTTGTTATTGGACCCTGTGAATAAAGTACTCAGTCACTTGGCTATTGAATACAGTATCCTATTTGCTAGTTCTAAAAGGGTTATGTTTTGTTTTTCAACAGTTTTATTTAGTCAGTTTTCTGGCAAGGCCTGGGCAATATTATTTTCCAGTATTTTAATTTTGTTTTTCCATTTTCTTCTTCCTAAGGCTACATAAGCTATTATGTGTCCCTGCAGAGAGGCTTTATAAGCCTACCAGTGTGTGGCAGGGGTATTTGTATGACTTCCCTTTTGTTGCTGGGGGAAAAAAAAGAGTATTCTCTGCTGTGAAAAATATTCTGATTTCTGTTGAATGATTCAATGAACCCTGACTTATTAGAGGACCATAGTTCAAGCAAAATTCAGTAAGGTATTTTATCTCCTTAGCTCACAGAAGCATTTCTATCTGCATGATAAAGCAGCTCTTTCCAACATGCAAGTCATGAACACTTGAGCAGTAGGTATACTCATCTGCACCATGGCAGAGTACTGCCAAATTTTAAGAAGGCTAGTTTGGAAAGAATTTTATTTCATGCTCTCCTGCCTGAGTATGTTCTTCAGTTGCAAGTCTTATAATCACTGTTATTTGGAGATGCAATATTGCTAATGTGTATTTAACACTTTTTGGCTCCAACAGATTAGAGTTTTAACTTTTTTATTTGAAAAGAGATTATTAAAAGCATAAAGGGAAGGGAACTCCTCATAATTTTTCTGACACCTAACTTTTCCTTAATAAAGCAGGTCTCCTAAAGTAAGTGCCTAGTCTTCCTAGGCAATCAGTACAGGGAAGTGCCTCACAGGTATCCTGAGGGAGATCTCTGTCCCACTGATTCTTCAACATTGCTCCCTGCAACAGGTTATTCAAGTAGACCCTCCCAAAAGCTGACCACTCTGCATTAATGCATTTGGTGCACTGAGGAAAACAGTCCCAATACAGTCACCTGCTAATGAATAAGTACTTACAATTAGCAGAATTAATACCTGGCACTAACATGACAGGAGTGGTATGTGAAAAACACCCTCAACCTGGTAATTCAAAAAGGTAATTTAGTGGATTCTAAACCACTGCTATGAGCGGTTCAGTAACCTGAAGTGTTATATAAAACCCAGAGACCATGACAGCAGATGGCCTGGAAACATCTTTTCTTGCTTCGGAGAGACACAGTCATAACTGAAAGATCTTGGACAGCGGCTTTTATGGATAACTATTTTGCTGACTAGGGAGAGCAAAGGTGCACAGAGTGATTTGTAGAAGACAAAGTTCCCCAGTGTGAGAGAGGTTGGCATAGATCAGCAAAGACAAGCAAAGAAATCTACTGTTGGCTTTTGGTAATGAGGCCAGGTCCTTCTGCTTCACAGCTACATGAATTACTTGAAGGGTATGGCTGGATGTCACAGAACAGAACACACTCTTGGAAGCAGCAGTGGAACATGATGACAGAAACATCCTGAATTCAACAGGAAAAGCTTTTGGAGTTCAAGGCTCTAGCAGCCTTGACATTTACAGTCCATCCACTTCCACACTGGGAAATTCAAGCATGTTCAGAACACTGTGTCACTGGACCATGATGACCTGTGCAAGCAAACTGACAGGTTATTCCCTGGCCAGATTTTGGCTGGTTTTAATTAGCAGTCTTGCTTGGGGCCCTGATGTTCTCTCTGAATAACTCCTGGGCATGGCTTGGTGGTTACAATGTCCAGAGACGATTCCCAGTGTGCAGTTTGTTTGGCAGCCAGGGCAGTTTGCTAGCACAGACACCAGCCGTTGTGTGCCAGCTGGCCTCAGTGCCTAGGAATATTCCCAGGCATGGTTAGTTTACTAATGTGAATGCAGCTGTAATGGGTTTCTACAATACCCAGGGAACATAACCATCTGCAACAATTTAAATGTGTCAGAAAATTAAAACTTAGATATTGAAAGATAACTACTGGAAGAAATCAGTCTTTGGACTTATGGTTGGCAGTGGCCAAATCTTGAGATTTACTCAAGCACCTATTTTTTTTCTTTTTTTTTTTTAACCTGTCCAAAACACTCTGCAATTATTTGTTTTGGAATTTTGATTTCCTTCATCAAGGCTATATGTATACATGGCTGTATGCACACACTTCACTGTATTATTATAATGCTTCTGTTCATAACATCTAAGCATTCTTCTCATAGGCATCTGGTGACAGTCATGCCTTTCTTTGATAGCCTTTACTGGTATTTCTAGTCTCCCCATCCTCAGCTTTAAGGGTTATGGGTGTGGTGGAAGAGGAAGAGCAGCTGCAGAATATATTTTTTCTAGCTATTTGATCAGAGAAATTCCTGTCTCTATGTTGTATTTTGAAACAGCTCTTTGCAAAGCCCAGAGAGTATATATTCCTGTGCCAGTCTTTACACACTAAAAAATCAGCAACTGGGTAGATGCGACATTAAATATCAAAATCCCTTTCTCTCAGTGGGATACTCACTAAATCTGGAAACCAACGCTCTAGCTTTGGGTAATTCATACTATATTCCTCTTAAACAGCTTGTTTCAGATAAGGTTCTGAACCTGCATTATTCTTCTGGTTCTTTGAGGATTACATCAGGTTGCTGTCTAAACTGCTGCTGCTAATTGTTAGAAAAACTTATTGCTTGTATAACAAGGCTTGAAGAAAATACTTTGCCATGAACTGAGATTTGATTCAGTACTTTATAAACAAAACAAATGTGTTATTAATTCCTCTACTTAATAGTTAGGTTTTGAAATGTATTTTTTAAGACAACAGATGGCTACAATCAAGCAGATGGGAAACCAGAAGAAAACTATGGACTGGGTAGCACAGTATGGTTATTATAGAATCTAATAATTTGACGTTCATGCGTCAGACTAACTGCGGTCTTTTTTGTTGAATCATTACTTTGTAAAGGGCAAACAGAACTGCAGCACACTGTAGATCTCTGGGAATTTCTCCCCCTTGTTCAATTGGTGCTGTAACACAGAGTTTACCTGTAGATAATAGCTCACACTGTTACTCTACCAGACATCTCAAAGGCCTCTTTGTGCAGTGGCACAATCACTCAGCTCTCTTCCTTCGGTTTCATTCTCTTCTGTGCATTCCATGCCACGTCACTCATGTCAACTTCATCAGGCCCTGGCAGCTGCCTTACCCGAAGGCTAAACTGTGTCCCTACTTCGTTTCTTATGAGCAGGCTAAAATCTGACCAAGATGCACATGCTGCATTGCTGTTAGTCTCCATGAGACACAGCATTTGACTGTACTTCGTAACCATGAGTATATTTATGTGCTTCTACAGTCAGCAGCAAAGTTTATTAAAAAAGACCAATTACGCTGAAGGGTAAAGCTTCATTGAAGGGGTAGTGAGAGGGTACTCCTCTACCTCGGATATCTGACTAATGGTTCTGATTATCATCCTCCAGGTTTAACTGAAGCTGTGTAAGATACCACTGTCCCAGGGATCCATCTACCAGTGCTTAGTACTACTCTAAGGCAAAGTTAAACACAGACTGGTTCCTCAGTCACTGCACTACATACTCTGGTTTATTAAATGCTCCCCCATTTAAACTGTGAACACTAGGACTGTGAACCACAGATTCTAGGGAAGCAGTCCAGTATGGCAAGCACTGACTTGCTTGAAATGAATAAATGAACATACTTAGTGCTGCAAATGCTAAAAGTGCTACCAGGCCTGAAACAAAGCATTTCAAAATGAAGCATATTCAGCAGGTTTCTGGTTTTCAAGAATTCAGTTTGTTGTCTGAAATTATTTTTTTGAAATTTCTATCTTCACTCTCTTAGAGATCTCTGCTGTTTATCCAAGCTTGAATTTACTTGAATTTTCTTTCCCATTTACACTATAATTCCTTGTTCTCATGTATTAAGTGAATAAAGACAAGAAGACTATTCTGATGATCTTGCAAAAAGCTGGAAATAAAATAAGGACTCTCCTCTTCCTTGTGAGAAATGTATTCTAATACTGCTAAGTAACATTGAGTGATTTACCTGGTCTAAGTTAGATCAGCTTTCCTCCATGTTCCCAGCTAGATTTCTTAAGTTTAGCCTTCACATTAAGGTTTAACTTTAAGCATGACCAAACACAGATTCCAACAGTGCCAGCATGTAGCTCTTGGGGTATGTTTACAATGGTACTTTTGTTTGGATCAAAAGTGCTTTTTGTAAGTCAGTCTCCTGACTGATCCACTTGCCATGCTGTGGTGGTCATTGCTGAGCAGTCCTGTAGAAGATAGACTGGACTCCCTTCCAATGACACTAAACCAAAACATTTCCTCAAACCTCTCCTTAATGTTCAGCTCATTGGACAAACTTAGGTCCAGTCTGAAACCTCCCATCTCTATACTTTTAGAAAGAAAACATGGATGCCAATGTCTGAGATCCCAATGTGAACCATTAACCAAGAGCAGTAGATTACACAAATTTCAAATATTCTAGGAATTATCCATAGTGATTTAAAAAATATTTTAAAAAATTTGACTGTATTCAGGGCCACAGAGTGCACATCTTAAATGTAAAAATGCTTCATATTCTGCATCATCTTATAATTTCTTAACTGTTACACAGGTACAGTACTGCTGGAAAAAAATGTGCTGCAGGCCGAAAAAACAGCTTGGAGAATATTCATACCCCGAATACACCTGCAAGTTCCTGCATTTCTAAATATACTCTAATTGCAGAAGCTGGCTTCAGTCATGGTCTTACCCAGATGCTAACAGGTCACTGACAGGGTTCCAGGCACAGATGAACACCTCTGATTCATGGCCCCGAAGGACTGTTGCTTTGTTAGGTGGAATTTCAACATCCCCATCAATTTCCATTGGCTTTGAATGATTATCTGTGAGGAGATAGATCAGAAAAAGTAGTTTACAAGATGCAGTTAGGTCTGCTTTAAAAACAAGCTAGCTACCCATGACCTAAAGCTTACATCAACATATAAATAATACTCTGTGTTGTGTCACTGACCATATAACTCTATTTTCTTCCCTACAACAATTCAAATTCCTGACATTTCCTCAAAATGTAGAGCTTTCTAAAATATTTTGTATCAATGCACGTAGCTTTTCTTCCCCAAAACAGTCAGTCTTTATTTCAGTATAGTTTTTTTTTAATGCTGGCTTCATTAAAAATTACTTACAGATTTTTAACATACTTTAAAAAAGTAACATACAGCACATACATTTTCTTACACTGTGTCCTGTAAGTAATATGTGTGCTACTCACAAAGAATATACCAAGAAAGGACCTCATTCCAAGAGTATGGCAGGGAAATGGCGAGTGATCACCTTCTCATAATACATAAAAAGGTACCAAATGAGTCTTAGATATTACAGCATATGCATGCTGTAACTCTGCGGTTCTTTAGACTGCAGTCTAAGTAACTTTGTTTTTATAAAGCTTTTTTATTTCCTTAACGAAAAAAAAGTGAATTGTAAATGATGAATTTCTCTTAGTAACCATTCATTCCAACTTGCATCACCAACCATGTTTTTACTCCAGACTTTCACTGCTTCATTATAAATCTTCCTCATTAAGCTCTAGCTACACTTCCTGGCAGCAACACAAGATTATTATCCTCTGCAAACAAGACACCAACCAAGGACAGGTGACACACTGAAACAGCAGACAGCAGATGCTACACACAGAAGTGTGGCCCATTTTGCAGGGAGCAGACCCAAGAGTGGGTAGCTGGCAGGCTGAGGCAAGGCAGCCTCCTGTTACCTAATCAATGCTTTGGCCAGTTGATCTGCTCTGACTGATCAAAATGCAAGTGTTCTTTCTGGGTTAAGTCTTTTAGTTAGTCATTCTTTAATCACATATGGAGATCCATAGGTTTGCAAGTAGAATAATTATGCTCTCTTATTGCCACATGTTTATGGCATTTAAAATCAGCCATCTGTCCTCATACTCCTGCTTTGCTGAGCTGTTGCCCATCGACTGAGAAAACAGACTTGCATGACACTGCACAACTGCCATCCAGATTTCTACCCTTACCCGGGCTTTCAAATACCTTGTTTGTCTCTGCCTAATTTATGCTGAGTCACACCAGTCGCACTTCTCATTGCACATTTGGTCAAGTACCCTAAAAGTATGTCTGTGCCACATCTACGTTACAGACAGAATGGAATCTACATGTAATTCAATGAGTTGCACAGCACTGAGTATCAAAATCAGAAAACAACTAACAGTAGTTTCACACCCCATTTCTAATTAAAGATACCTGTATTTTTAACTACACTTATTACCTATGGACTTGTTGCAAAAATTAAACATTAGAAATGCTTATTTGTAAAATCTACAACTATGCTGAGCCCATTTGTTAATCACTGCCCTTGACAATTCCCTATGTGTATGACTACTAAAAGTAATACTGTCAAGCTATACCAGTACTCAAGATTTAGCCTGACACTAGCAGCTGGGAGCTTTGATGTGATATTCTGAGCAGTGAGGCACTGAAGAACAAGCAATGCTAAAACCCTCCAGAACATACAAGCCCTGAACTCGCAATCGTCTGTTTCTCAGCACAGCACAGATTCACCAGGTTTAAAGCATATTTTCATGAGAAAAACAGCAGCATGACAATGGTTATGCATTCATCTGTGTCCTGTTCACAGTGTGAGCTGGAAGCTGGGGGTAAATCAAGAAGATACTTCGACCACTTTAATTTGAAAAATTTAAATGAGATGCTACTCTTACAACATTGGATCCTACTGTTACCTGCCTGGCTCTAAAGGCAGGTCTGCTTTTCACTCTCAATTAAAACCAAATGACAGCTGGGAAGCAGCATTACTCCAAGGTCCCAGAGTCAAGAGGTGCTATCAGAGCAAAGCCATCTGATACTTAGAAATATTTTTTGTTTGTAGATGGCCAGATGGAGGAACCTAGACACACACTTTGAATGTTATTAACTGCTGTGAAAAAAAAAACCACAAATAATCATGCTGTGAAAAAGAAACCTTGATTAGCTGATACCTGCATTAGTACATGCAAGAATGACTGGCCTCTGGGAGCAATGAAATACCTGCAGGATGATTTTGTATTGTCTTCCAGTAATGATTTTCACACCACAGCCTTCGTGGTTCAGGAGAAAAGATGGAAGGATGAAGAGTCTTTCAGAAATCATTTGAAAATGTTCACATTATATGTGTTTTCTTCCTATTTTCATCAGTAGTCAGCAACATTCATATTTAGAGTGTTATTGTTCAGCACAAAAGTTAAAATGCCCCACTGAACAAACAGGACAGTTCAGGCTTCTGTGATACTGCCTCAGGCTCTTGTCAGATTCAGAAAGACACCAGCAGTATACAATGGTTACAATTATGATAACACCAAAAAATTGCAGAAACCCCTGAGCACAAAATGGTGCACACATAGGAGTGACAAGCTCCTTACATAGCACAAGCTCTTGTGAGCCCTGGTCTCACCTGAAAATTTGGCTTTCCTATGGATGCAGCCACAATGTGTGCATGGGGAATGACAATAAATAGGTATATCTAGTAACCATCAAGAACAGGCTTCTTTTGTTTTAAAGTATCTTCAGAGCAGAAAGCATTTGGTTAAGAGGACATTTGCACAAAACTGCCTCAGAGAGAGTCTCTAAAAGAGAAGGCAGTTCTACCAAGTGCAGCAGACCCTCACAGGTGAAAACCATGGTCACAGAGAGGATTCTGTTAACACAAACATTTTCTAAAGGTCAGAAGATCTCTGGTTAAGTCTACACTATATTCTACTTTTTTTCCTCAAATGTATTAAAAATTCCAAATAACTGGAAATCAAAAGTCTTATTCCCCGAAGCTATTACGACTGAAGTTATTTTGTTTTTTTTAAATAATAATTCAAAACACTGGTAATACTAACTCTCTATGTCCTCCAAATAAAAAAAAAATATATATATATTTTAAAGATCTTCCAACTGCTAACCCTGTCTTTTCTCAGGAAATGTGTTTTTTTTTACTTGAATCTTCAACAGGCCTTTCATTGAGGTTGTTCTTTATGGCTGTAGTTACAAAGGAACAGGGCATAGTCCTCTTTCCAGAGCTTTATTTTTCTTAAACCCAAGCCAATCTTTGCAATTAATATGAAACAAACGACACTAAAAGTATTTGAGTTCTAAAACAATCCAAAGTTTGGCTCCATTTCTAGATGCAGACTTTAATTTTTTCCTATAATATTTAAAGTGACTTAAAACTGAAAACATTACTTGGGAAGCAACAAGAGAAGGTAGAGATTTTTTTATTTAGTATCTGAATCTGCACCTCAAACTGTTGTTATTTTTGTTGTCTCTTTCTTAAATCTATAATTTTATACGTGTAATACCACATACAAAAATAAATCATATTATATTAAATATATTAAAACTTTTTTGGAAAGACTTACAATGTCAGGGAGAACTCTGTGCCAGAATAAATGCAAACTAGATAACTTCTCAAAGACACCTCTTTTACCTGCCTTTTTATGACAGGTTGATATATGGGTGACTTCCAGGTAATGACTAAGGATGCTAGTTATCATTTTTCAATTTCACATTATTCAAACCCATCCTAACACATGCCAGTTCTATGGAATCCAATAAAAGTAAAAACTTCTGTTTTTGGGAAGGTTTGGGAAGTTTCTCACAGCTTTCATATCAGCAGTCTTTTCTACCCAGTAGGTCTCCCAGTACTACTTTTTTCTCCCAGGAATAGTCATAAAGGACTTTTCCTTCTCAACATTCCAAGAAAAGGTCTGCAACTCTTTGTGAAAATCCTTCTACTAAAAATAGCTGTGAGAATCATTAATGTTAGATCTGAGAAATCAAGGCTTAGAGTGTGGCTATAAACCTGAACTGATCTTTAAGGCTTTCCTTTTATTAATTCACTAATAATGTATGTTTCTTTGGATCAGAAGGAAATAAGTCTGAATGGTTCTCTTTTTGTGATAAGCTGATAATCAGTTTTCTACCTTAAGAACTTGTTTTTTTCCTGGTCCTGAGATAGTAAGACATTCTCCAAAAATTTTCATGTATCAGCTGAAGAAATGTGTCAAAACCCAAAATGTCAGCATTTGATACGTTTAAAAGTGCTTTTTTTTTTTACATTTGGTTTCTCAAATGAAAAATGTAATTTAAATAATTGCATTTTTACTGGGGAAAACTATCCTGTCTAACTCGAATTCTCTGAAGAAAAACCTGGTTTGAAAGCATTTTCCTCACTCACCCACACAGGAATCTAGTCAGATCAAAGAGAAGATGGAGACTGATAAGGGTATCTACACTGCAGAACAAACAAAATCTGTTACATGACTACAATCCTGACCTGTCACTTGTCTAAGCCAAAGAGCTGTTGGGATTTCTACAAAACCTGACATGCATGTTCCTCTAGAATTCCCTAAGGAGGCAAGTGGGCAATAAGGTCTCATTTCAGAAGTTAGGCAGTACCCTAATAGGACTTGCACACAGAAACCAGAACCAGTAATCACATCTGCCTCATAATGTTAGCACATCATCAAGATCCAGTTACACAAGCAGGCATGTCCACTCCATGTTTGACATGTCTGACTTTAGATGTCTAAGACACGAGTGCAGTCTCCCTTGGTCATACATGAGCAAAGGTGAATTTAGAGCTCTTGAGAACTGACTGTTCCCACAAACCAAGGAAATCTCAGGAAGGCAGGATCTTCTATTAGGTACCTGCAGCAAACTGTATGACTAAGCATGTGCTATTAAATAAAAGGCTGAGCAACAATTTTCCTCTGTGCCTTCAAGACACGTTGGGTGCATCCAGGATGTCTCCTGGGAATGGTCCTTGGCACAAGTGACTCCTTATCCTGTGCTTGGCAATGCTGTATAGGGATGGATAGTTGGTACAGTCCAAACTGGACTAAAGACCATGACAGTAAGGCTATGGATAATCCTATGCTCAGCCCCATTGTACAAGAATGGAAGCTGATATAGGCCAAATTGGGCCAAAGACCATGCCAAGGCAATGGATTCTCATAAGACAGTTACTGCACAAGGCTACACTCTGGTCATACTGTATTTACACAGATATGACTTGTAGGTCCCAGTCTCTCAACCCATCTTTCTCCTAGCCTGGTCAAAATGACAAGCTTTGGCTACAGCTTGTCCCAAATTTTATCAAATATCTAAAAGCACCTATAAAGCTGATAATATCAATAAAACCCGTTCTAAGGAGAGAGCATAGAGTTCCACTTCTTGATCCTGTCTCCAACTTGCAATTCTGAAGACATCTGAAGTTTCTGGATTCTGAGAGGAGACCAGTAAAGCACAGCACTGTGACACGAAACGTCACTTTTACTTAGTAACCTTTCTAGAAATACCCCGTCCTCCTGAAAGGACTGCCCTTAGTTCTACCACCTTGCAGAAAGTACACCTTGCACCCCACCTTGCAGTTAAGTACAAGAGTATCACTGAAACAAAAACTGCCCAGAAGTGGCATACTGTCTTACTTATTGCATGTGCCCCATTCTCCTCTCCATTCACAGTGGCTTCTCCGTTCTTTGGTGTGTTCTGCTGGGAAACAGCGGTCGTCGTTGCTCCTGCTGTCGCTGCCGTTGCTGCCGCTGCTGCCGCGGCACTGGCTTGTTGCTGAGCGAGCTTCTCTCTGAACGCTTGCTGTCGGGTCTGAACAACATCAGGCATCACCGCGTCTATCAGAGACAGGGATTCTATTGGCCTGCCGTCAAATACTGTACCATCCTGCAGGGAAAAGGAGCAGAAGTGAAACCACAAGTTTAGGATCTTCACCACTGAGGCTGGCAGAGAGGTAATGACGCAGGGAAACAAAACCAGGTTGTGTGAAGATACTGCACTTTGACTTATCCAACAGTGCCACATGACTATGGACCGGCTCTCTCTCAGATCCATGACGGTGGTACTCATGGTACACTTAGAAATCTGTTCAGTAAAAAAGTATTCTGTTGGAATTTTATAGAAAATCTAACCATATAAATGCTTTACAGATGCAACAGAAATTATGCTGTGGGAAAAAATATGTCTGACGGATGACAGAAGGTTTCAGTTTGTTTTCTATTTGAAAAAAAGAGTCATGGCTAAAGCCATGACAAAGGCAAACAGACTTTGGTTAAACTGTTTGTCTTCCTGCATTTGCAGGAGCATAGGAATGGAATGGAAGAAGCTGATGAATAATGAAACTCAGCCAAAACATGATGTATGCACAAATTCAGTGGTTTCTTACACAGTGTTCATCAGCCTAGCACCACACGTTGCAGGCTGATTTCACAGGACAGCCTTGCCATTATTTTTCCTTTATTCCACTACTTTTATTCATAATAGTAATGACTTTCCTTTTGATTTCTGTAAATTAGGCTTCAGATTTAACAACCAATTGAATAAATTTTTAAGGTCTGCTTTTTTAAGACTTAATACAGACTCAGATCAACAATTGCTGTATCTACTTAGCTTTTTTTCACTTTCACTCTCCTATTAAATATAGGAAAAAGATTTTAGAAGTCTTTATAAAGTGCCATTTTACCAATCTTCTGCAAACTCCCTTTAATTCTTTGAAACAATAATGGTCCAGCAGTGAAAGATTTGTGCTTGAGAAATAGCAGATAAGATTAGGGTATGGATAAATGATGTAACTGGTAAACAATATAATTTTCAATAGATAACAACAACTAATAAGGAAAAGTAGCTGTTTGCCTGACTGCTATGCTTCTGCTGGACTAGTCATTGCATTACCCCTTAAAATTACAATATTAAGATACTACATATTTGTTTCCTCATAGTGAAGAAAAATGACAAGAGTGTCATCAGACAAGAAAAATATCATCTCCTTTTCTCCTCAACATCTTTTTATGTAAATGTCTCTGCTGACATTTATTTGAATATTGACTCAAATCCTTCCTGCACAATAAACAAAAGGTTTGCCAATGGATTCTGCCATCTTATATTTTCAACTGCAAAACTGCTCACTGGACTATGACTGCCCTCAACATACCACAAACAATAATTTTATACACAGTAGTTTACAGATTATACACTAGTTTACTGATTACTTGCCACTCAAGTAATTCAGGTAAAAAAGTATATATGAAGCATAAACGTAGCCCTTACTGGCATTCAGTTGTAGCAAAAATGGCCTTTGCTTAGTTGTAACATATTGAACAGGATGTATTTGAACAGAACCATAGAGTGGTTTTGGTTGGAAGGGAGCTTAAAGAACATCTAGTTCCAACCCCCACCAATGGGCAAGGACATCTTCCACTAAGACGAGGTTGCTCAGGGCCTTATTCAACCTGAATCAAACCAGGATGAGAGCAACATGAACTTTAATGGTGACAACAGGTCTATTTTTAGATGGTTCTCTCAATTTAGGGCAATTCTGAAGCTGGACCCATGAAAAGCAGGTCCCTACAGGTCTCATACAACCTGAACTGATATAGGTGCTGTTCACAGCTGAAAGTTTCCAACTGTGTGGCTCCAATTTCAGGCATGGGGCAAAATGTTAAGTAGCAGCAAATTGGGACAGCTTCCTAACATGGGTTTGTTATTACAACTGCATCAAAGTGCAGCCTGGCACAAATGTCAAATGTCATTGCCCCAATTACAAAATAACACATACACAAATCTTATAAGTGATTATCAAGTCATAAAAAGAAAACTGCACAGAATGTTTGGATAAAAACAAGAGTTTTCAAACTACACATTGCAAACAACACCACCTTTTCTCCATTTATATCCCTTTGTTCTCACCCATGCTGTTCACATGCTACATTCAGGTATAGAGGAAAAAGCAAAACCTTTTTTGTATTAATGTTTATTACAGATGTCTGTCAATCACAGATATGTATGGTAAATATTTGGTAAAGCAATGCTTGCTTATCTGTCATGCTTCACTCCCTCCCAAAGCATCATGTCTTTAAGGTTGGCAGGGCAAAAACACTGGCTTTTCCCACATCCCTTCTTTGTTTCCCCTGGCAGTTCAAGGAGGACAGAGACACTTTGTAGCTGTTTGTACAATCCCCACGGACAACCTGCACCCCAGACACAATCAGAATTTACACACACCGGTTTCACCACGTACAGGATGCCTGGTCTTATATGATCTGAGTCAAAGTCACTGAAATCACTCTCCAGTGACCTCCGTGGATTTTTTATCAGGCTTCTCATGGCTTGCAAGCAGTGCTGCCTGCTAGGAGGTGTCAGGGAGTGAAGTTTTAACCTACACTGCAGGTTTTCCCTGCCAAATTCTGCTGTGACCTTGAAAACACAAGGCCGTAAAAACACAGATGGCTTTTCTTGTTTGCTGCAAGAACCTGTGCACCCAACATCTGTTGACTGGGGTAGCAGAAACACCATTAATATCCACTTAAACAGCACAAAGAAGGCCTCAATGCCACAGCTAAAAACTGAAATATGTCTCAGAGCTTTTCAGCTCTCACCTGGGGACGGGGTGCGGTACGAGGAATAAAATGAAAGCAGATCAAGAGAAACTGGGTACCAGTGGCTCATGTCTCTGGGCTGTTGGGACGTGTTGCTTGGCACATTCCAGTGTGCTGGCCAGTGGGGGCAGTGGCGGTGGCACAGGGGGAAGGGGTTGGTGGTACTTACTTCATTGATGCTGATCTCAGCCTCCACATACTGGAGCCCCTTCTGGAGGATGGAGATGAGTGCGGCAGGTGGCACTAGTGTTCCGTTGATGTTGGACTGGCTGATGTGGCTCTCGATACCGAAGGTAAAGGCCGAGTGGGAGAAACCTGAGAGCAGGAAAAGGAAGCCATGACATGAAATCTAAATGCACCAGTCCGATACACCTTCATGGTCTAAAAATAATTCTGTCCTGAGATCTGAGAGACACTACCGTGTAAGCAGAAGGATGTGGGCTGGCGGCACCGAGCCGGGGAGGTCATCCAGAGCCATCCTGACCACCCATCCCCCACCACCTGGGGAGGTGTACAGAAATGGAAATGCAGGCAGACAAAAATAACTGCACTAACTGAAACAAAAAAACCCCCACAAAACACACGAAAAACATCAATTGCCAGAAGGGCAGGTCCAGTTAAAAACGTGCCTCAAGTCTCCATTTCCCTTGCTGAATTTCAGTGCTGGTTGTTTACTGAAGCTGCACACTTAAATCCCTACCAGCGTGCAAGTTGTACAAAATCCAGGCATAGATGCAGCTGACACAGGGGAGACATTCCCTTATACCAGGGATTTCAAATTCTCTCTCATATATTGTATATATGATGGGCAGAGCACTACCATTAAAATGTGAAACTACAGAAAAACCTAATTTCTGTATGTGAACAGTAACAGCAAAAGCAATTAATTGGGATCTGCCAGGCAGCACATGACAAGCCAATGTGGCAGCCTGTATTTTAGCCAGAAGTCTTTCTCTTCCCTGTTTTATTTTTGTCATTGTCTGAGTAAATAAGCGGCAGTGAAGGTGATGGCACCAAAAATCAAAGGATTTCAGTGGACAAATTTTAAAGAGTGTTGCCTTAAATGCTGGCTGAAGCTGCTCAGAACTGTTGCTGGGTATGAAGGCGAGCGCTGCAGAGCAACTGCACGTAGGGGCAGCTGTGGGAGGGGGGAGGGGGAACAGGATGTAGATATAACTGTAGGAACCCATTTATCATCACACTGTCTCCAGAGCATTAATCTAACATTAAAAGCCTTGGGGAAACCACCCATGCACTGTCTCAAACAGGAAGAACCCTCACGGTCTCCACCAAATAGACAAGAAAAAAAAAAACAACAAAGCCAAAAAAAAAAGGCAGCTTTCAAATGAAAATACTGCCATTAAATATAGCTGTGCCTCTTCCCCTTGTCAAGAGTAGTTTCATTTATAGTTTTGTCCGTTAAGGGATTTCCCCCGTATCACTGCAATGTCCACTTGTGTGCAGGCTGGGGATGTGATTTTGGGCTCGTGCCACAGAAATGCTTTTTTTCTCTTTTCAACATCCTTTTTGCAGCTAGTTCAATTATGAACATAGATAGCTAATAAAAACAAGCTGAGAAACAGAATGCCTCCCACCACAGGCACTGAAACTGAGATATGTATTTCTCTGTGATTCTCCCCTTCCCCCCACCACACATTTTATTTTGCTGCTGCTTTTCTCTTTTTCCTGGTAACAACCCCCATTCTCTCCCTTCCCAACCCTAACTTTCCTTCCTGGCACTCTCCCAGTTTTGGGGAATGTTTGGGATGCTTTGGACATTTTTTAGGAAGTGGCAGGTCTGCCTATCAACAGAATTATGTAGGATTACTAGGCATGAAAATAAAGCACAGAAAAAGCTCACCTGAAAAACTGCAATATCATTTATCTAATCCCTGGTCCAATTCTTATTCTGTATTGCTCTTTATGACCTGGTCTAGTTTATGAGCTGCTGGACCCCCTGCTGTACCCAAAACAGACTATAAGATCTGCAAGGCAGTGTTTTCCCTTGTTGTTAGTTTTGTAGGACATCTAGGCATGTTACTGGGCACCACAATGAGGAAGAAATCAAGTATCAAGCATACACAGCCTGCCTCTGAGAGATCCAGGGCCTGACCACTGAACACTGAAATCTCTGCGTATATCTATAAATACATGGCATACAACCAACCAGAATTAGAGAATCAGATCCCTCTTAATTTATATTTAAGTGGTTTTCAATTAATCAACAACAGTAACAAAACTTTCTTAAAAAAGAATGGACTTAAAAAAACACGACAGATAAATCAGCAAGTCTACGTAAGAACGAGAAAATGAAGCTGTTGTCCAAGAGCACTGAAGGCGGCTGCTGAAAAACCCCAGCAGCTAGTTTGTAAGTCACCAGCTCAGCAAATTGTAACACGGTCTCTGATTAAAACCACAGGTGGAGGGCATAAAAATGGTAATCAACAAACATGGATAGAAACTGAAAAAAAAATGGAAAATCATGACTATGGATCTATGGTAGGCATAATTTTAACCATGACTTTTTACCTCTCATTATTACATTTGGTATCTTAGAGACTTTTAGTTGTCTGTTGCCACATATTAAGCCCCTTCTTTGCCAGGAGACAGATGATTATGGAACACAGCTAACCTCTTTGTCCAGTACTGAGTTGCCACATGCCCAAAGAGTAACACATCTCACCTCACTGCATGTGAGAGAAGAAACTTCTCAGTACAAAACCCAGTTGTGTTATTGCAACAAATCTTGTTATCTTACCGTTTCTCTTGATGCTAAGAAACTATTACCAAAGCACCTGTTAGATGAAGAAACACAAAACTTCTGGGTACACTGTCGCTGAGGAGCAACCTCCAGCTGGATCTGAGAAGATCCAAATACTGAAACATCAGTAAAGCAAAACTGTTTAAATGGGTGCTGCTGGACATGGTGCTTCTCACCACTCTTGAAAAAATCCTCCCACACAATTGTAATTAAAAGAAACATGCTAACCAGTCCTCCAACTGACAGCTAATTCCCTCTTAACTTCTTGTACTACTGTAGCATATATAAGGCTCATATGAAAGTAGACTGCTTTTTATAAGTAACACACACAGTTAACAACATCCTCAACGAAGCTGTACCTACATCCGTTTTCTGGTAACACTGAAGAATCACCTGAGCTTTACTTTTATAGTTATCAGATATCATCAATGTACAATGAAATGCAGAGCAAAGTTGCAGCTCTATAGTTCAGTCTTACAAAAAGGTGATTTCCATTAAACAAAGGCAATTTTTAAAAAATGTTAGCTTGCTAACTTGGCCCTCCTTCTACTTTCATGAAACCACACCAGGGATGCAAAGCTGAAACACAAGCACCACCCCCACTTCCAGTCTGTCAAGGCAGTTGAGGAGCATGAACAGAGACAGAAGGTGCTCTGTAGTCAGGATCTGAAGAAAGGATGTGGTAGGGATGACGTGAAATTACAGTAGACACAAACTGAAAATGCTGTAGCAGCAGTGAAATGAATGAAAGTTGCAAATCTGTGTCCATATGCATTCTTTCTCATAAATTCTGTCATTTTGGTGACTGTAATAATCACTCTATAAAACAATAATTTCTATTCAAATAGTACCAGTAAACAAAATCTTAATGTAATAAACCCTTTGAGGAAACATGCAATGAGACTGAGCTTTTAAGGTTAAAGACATAAACACAAAGGGCTGAAGAGGAGAAAGCATGGCCACACACTGAACGGGTTTCATAGCAGTGACCCAGACAATCACTTGTGCTGTGACATGACCAGTGCCCTGAACTGCATCTTTCAGAAGACCTAAGAAAATGCTTCCAGGTTTTTTCTGCCTTAAAAAAGATGAGAAAACAGAAACCACCAAACTATGTATAATCTGTAAATACATTATTATACATGAAAAATATATCCAAATGAACAGTGAAGGTCTTGGGACAATCTTGGTATGAATGGAAGTGATTACCTGTGCAATAGTTGGGCTTGAAGCATTTTATAGAGCATAAAAGCAGAGAGGAAACAATGAACAAAGAAAAAATTACTTAAATGACCCTCTCCACCCCCCCAAAATTGTTATGCAAGTCAAAAACAGACTTGAAAACTCAGTGGAATTCCTCATTGGGAGTTTCCCACACTTTTTTGTACTGACAGTGGTAACAGGTTCCGGTTCTGTGCTGCATCTTTTCCCACACCGAGGTGTCTGTATATACTCTCAGTGGTACATACACAGCCATTTGGGAATTCTTGCCCTAGGCAGTGCCAAAAAATGCATATGTAAGACTGTGTTTTGCAAAATTTCACTGATAGGTTTTGCTATAACTGCAAAAATGGAGATGATAGAGATTTTTTTTTCTTTGACAGCTCCTTTTTCAGTTAAAAATGGCCTTCCTTTAAAACTAGATTTGTCATTGATCATAAAATGACTAAATTTTATTTAATTAACCTAATGATGTTCTGCTTGTTTGACCTGCAGGCTACGTAGTTTTAACTGTTTGCAACATGCCTGGCTCACAGCAGAAATGTAGGTGTAGGAAAGACAACTGGGAAGCCATGCAGCCTGGGGAATGACCTGTCTTCTCCAGAGATGTGCTTCACCTCTTCTGGGAGCAAAGCGTTCCTCCTTCTAGGCTCACAACTGGGGTGGTGCTGAGTATTCCCTACACCAGCTCATCTGGCAGTTGCAGCTCAGTTAACTGACACCCACCAAGTGCTCCTTTCAGTTTCTGATCCTTTTAGCACCGCAAAAAACATCTTTTTTAAACTGCAGTCTTGAATTGTTACAGCTACAGCACCTACTGCCGTGGTTGTACAGGTGAGGGGAATGACAAAGAGGGGTCTGTGGAAGCAATGACTTCTAAACTCTTGCAGTCTTTGCTGGTTACTCAGGAGTTGCCTTGGGGATGCCCTGATGAACAATAGTTAAGTGATCTGTAGAACACTGTGCAAGTTTTCTGTTTGTGAACTGGACTTAGTTTTCTCTGGTAAATCCAAATAGTATGCCGTTTAAATAATTTTTGAGAAATCCCATGTTTTCAAGTTCTTCGCAAATTACTCAGTTTAATCATTCACACTGTAAGGTCCTTCACTGAAACATTTGTTACTGTAGAGAATAAAGAATTATGAACATAAAGTTGCCTTTTACACACACCTCAAGCATCTTTATCCCAACACTGAGTACAAGTCTTTGTAAAACTAATGCTCAGTGTGGCCCTCTGTCCTGGAAACTAGTGAGATTTCATATGGAAGTCTGTCATTCCTTCAGTAAATTTTCCTATTTCTTTAACTCAAGCACTCCAGACCGAGGTTTGCAA